ATTATAACGTTCTGAATGCTTACATTAAAATTAGGTGAACAAACTTCTACGGCTAATTGAAACTACCTACTAATTTATTTCACTGATTTCCAGGTTCTGAATGAAGCTTTTATCTTACTGTTTTAGAAATACATATTCATGATTTTGTGAAAATGCAGTAACAATTTCGAGGTTTCGTTTCTCTAGGCGTATTTAAGTTTTTAACACCAAATATTTTACTCAAGTTTTTCTATTTTCTAAATTTTGTGTTGAAATAATAAAAACGATACTACCTTATACAGAGTGTCTAAAAATTTATTTTAAATAATTTCTACCTTTAAACGGCAATAACTTCTTTAATTTAAATGGAAAAACCCTGTATATTTTACGAATCAGATACGCAATTTAATTGTCTGCATCAAACTGTATTATACCATTTCTTACTTATCTCTTGAAGTTTTTTTAATGGTCTGAAAGTCCTACAACCAACCCAAAACTTACAATTTGTAAAAATGTAATCGTTTGGCTACAATACTCCGTATCGAATGAGATGAATAACTCTGTGTAATTTGTATGGTAGAATTTCAATAATTAGTTACAAAAAGCTTACAATATGACTGCATTATGTTGATAATATTTTGGTAGAATGGCAACAATGTTTCCAAAATGGAAGTATTTAGGGTATGCAGGTATTCCCTCAAACCGACAATAAAATTTAAATTAGAAGTGGAGAGCAATATACTTTTGGGTATTTCTTGGTGGTTTAGTGGTAAATATTCAAAATACACTAATTTTAGATTTTTTTCTGAAAACCCACAGATATACAGGGTGTCCCAGGCTGAACGTGCATTAGAAGTTTCTAGAGAACCACAATATCTAGATCGGAGATTTTTTGCACATCATTATTTTACAACGAGATCTATCGATTAAAAATATTTTCAATATGGCGGCACTTCCGGAAATACCGGAAGTTGGCAGCAACTTTCTTATTTTAAATGGGTGCCTCCATTTTTTATTACATACTTGAATTTGAAGTAAAATTCTATGAATATTGATGTTAAATACTCTATACCTAACATTAACCGTTTTTGAGAAAAAAAATATTTAAAATTTTTGGACGAAAAAAACTACCTGTCAAAAAAATTTGTGTAGCCTAAAAATCAAATTTAGTGATTACCACGGCCACTGTAACATAAAGAGAAGACATGTGGCTATCTATTTCAAAAATTAAATGGTTCAAATGTCATATAATAATGGCGGTAGCTGTGATGGAATTGAGCGATTAAAAAATTATCATAAATGATTTTTTTTCAAATGGAAACCCACTTTTTTCATTTCACTAATGAAAAGGTTTTTCAATTCGTTACTTTTTAACTATATATGTTCCTGTACCTGAAATAAATCGTTTTTAAGATATTTAAGATTTAATTTGAAAACGTATATTTTTTTGATTTTATCTAGCTTCCTTTGACATGAAGCGTCAAACGGTCAGACAATTTATTTCCATCTGTCAGAAAACGAATTATTTAAATTTCCTACATTATACGAGCCCTAACAACTATATGTTGAGACAAGGTCTTTTTTTGCAATAAAAATAGTAATTTGTTAAAACGACTCATTTTATTTTGTTTATTATTCTAAATTCAAACATGACAATATGATCTAGACAATTTTACTATATTTTTATAACTTTGCAAACAAATCACTTTTGATAATAGCTTATTTTGCCAAAATCAAGCCAAATTTGCTGACAACTATATATTGGGACAGCACAAGAAATTTGTTTAATACGGAGTTACATCACCTTTCGCCTTAACAACTGCCTGAACTCTTAATGGCATTGTATTTACCAAAGATTGCCACATTTGAGGAGAAAAATTATCCCAAATTTCCTGCAGTTTTGTCCGCAAATCAAAAATTGTTCGTTGAGGGTGGTTTCTTAAATATTGCTTCATTTTATGCCACACAGTTTCTATAACACTGAGGTCCGGACTACTTGCAGGATAGGATAGAACTTTTATATTATTATTACCGAACCAAATTTTAGTTAATTTTGCTGAATGGCACGATGCTCCATCTTGTTGAAAAATATAGTCTTCGTTTGGAAACAATTCTTGAGCACTAGGCAAAAGTGAGGACTCAAGTATATGTTGATATTTTTGGGCGTTAACAGTGCCATCTTTAAAATTTAATTTGCCCAAACCTCTTGCTGACATGCAACCCCAAACCATAATCCCCTTAGGAAATTTAACAACCCGCTTTAAGCAGTCTTTATGAAAGGCTTCTGCTTTATTTCGTATTATTCTTTTTCGATGATCTCCAACGCAAACATCAAATTTACACTCATTGCTAAATATGACCTTATTCCAATCATTTTGTGTCCACGATAATTTAGATTTTGCCTAATTGTAGCGATTTTTCTTTTGAATTTCTGTCAGTAGCGATTTTTCTTTGGCCTAAATAAGAATTTGTATAAATAATCTTCAGGTAATTGATTATCCACACAAAATAAAGTTTACCTTGTAAAACCCTAGCCCGCATTTATGGATATATTTTCGGCAACATTCTCTTGATATATTTAATCCAGTTACAGTATTCCATTTAACTGTTACTTCGCGAAGAGTACTTTTTCTCGCAGACTTGCAAATTTTTACTAAATTTCATAAATCTCTCTGAGATACAACTTTTGGCCTTCCCGAACTTTTACCTCTAACGCCTACACTACTGGCAGATTCGCCGTATTTTTTTGTTTTATTAAAGACCGTGGTTTTTGGAATACTTAAATCATCAGAAATTTTTCGAATTGTTTTTCCCGTACTGTATTGACGAATGATAATTTCGCGTAGTTTTTTATTTGTAGCTTTCCATTACTTTGGATTAAATTAACAAAATTGAAAATTAAAAAAATTAAAATTACTTACAGTAAGTCTCACTACTCAAAGTATCGAGTCACTTACAAGCTGTCAATGCTGAAGTAAACAGTTTGCGACATTTGTGACGTTTATAGCAAAGCCGCCTATGATATTAATTATTTAAAAATACTTGTCCCAACATTTAGTTGTCAGGCAAATTTGTCCTTTTATGAACAAAATCCGCTACTGTAAATATGGATTGATTTACAAATTCATAAAAATATTTTCAAGTTGTTTAGGATATATTTCTATGTTTATATTTAAAAAATCAAACATATAGTTTTCAGTCATTTTGAAAAACCAGGGCAATAATTCCAAAATATGACCTTATCCCAACATATAGTTGTTAGGGCTCGTAAATACTGCCTGCATTAAGAGTTTAAAAAGTGCATTTATAAAAATATGTCTCGTATTTTCGCTCTTTAGTGATATCTAAAGTTGATAATATTAATAATATTCCGTATGATCGAAAAAAAAACAGCGCAAAGTTGGCTCTGAAATGATGCTGCTTTTTAAACAAAGCGTCACAATATATCATGGTCAGATCTATTGTTTTACATCACTTGACGTTTAAAGTTTAAAGTCATAGGCTACTGGTTAAAATCAAGAAAAATATATGCATTAAAACTAAATCTTAAATAATTTAAAAACGATTTATTCTAGGTATAGGAACATGTATAGTCAAAAAGTAACGAATTAAAAAACCTTTTCACTAGTGAAATTAAAAAAGCGGGTTACCATCTGAAAAAAATGCTTTATGATAATTTTTTAATCGCTCAATTCTATGACAGCTGCCGTCATTATCATATGACATTTGAACAATTTAATTTTTGAAATAGATAGCCACATGCTTTCTCTTTATGGCACAGTGGCTGTGGTAATCACTCAATTTGACGTTCAGGGAATACGCATATTTTTGACAGGCAATTTTTTTCGTTCAAAAATTTTAAATATTTTTTTTCTCAAAAACGGTCAATGTTAGATATAGAGTGTTTAATATCAAAATTCATAAAATTTTACAGAGAATTTAAGTGTGTAATAAAAAATGGGGACACCCATTTAAAATAAGAAAGTTGCTGTCGACTTCCGGTATTTCCGGAAGTGCCGCCATATTGAAAATATTTTTAATGGATAGATCTCGTTGTGAAACTATGATGTGCAAGAAATCTCTGAGCTAGATTTTGTAATTCTCTAGAAACTTTTAATGCATGCTCAGCCTGGGACACCCTGTATACAGACAGACGTTTAAATTATTTACTACAGAATAAAGTGTAAAAATGAGTTATAAATATAATATGGAAAATAGTGATGAGCAAATGCAAGACCAAGACTAAGACTCCCTTGGAGTTGATCTTCATGCAAAACTGTTACAAGTCTTGCAAGAGTAATTCTTTTTTTTTTAATTTTCAAAGTTAAAAAACTCGGTTATCAATTTATTTTAAAACTGGTAAAGGGAGAATATGTTTCTTTTGGCCAGATCTACCGCCTCATAAAATACTTGCAGTTACTTCTGGGACACCCTCTATACAATTTGTCGTTATAAACACAAATTAAACTTTTTTACCCACGTAAAATTAACGAACACTGAACAACAAACAAAAGGTCTAAAAAATGAGATATTCAAAACACCATGTAAATGTGAGAAATTTTATATTGGCCTAACACCTGTTAAATGTTCGATTTAAAAAGCATAAGGGTTATAAAATATAAAGGTGAAACATTTCACCTTTTTACCAGTTTCTAATTTGTAGTGTAACAACCCAAGTTCATCAACAAAGTTAAAGAGGTAAAATTTTGGCTAACTGTATAACAGACAATTTAAATGAAAGAAAGGAACCTACGTTGTGTAAAATATATATTTTTTGTGATTGCCTCGGATGCGCCTCGACAGAAACAATGGCCCGTATGAATAAAAAGAAAGCAAATGCTCATGAGTATGAGCAAACGCTCCAAGCAAGAGCTTAGAGTAACAGGTCGGAGTATAAGCATCTACTCGAGTTGATATGAATAATGATTGGCTTATACTCAAGAGTATTTGCTTCCATAAAATGAGCATTTGCGCCTGGTCATTCCTGTCGAAACTATTTAGTTGGCCAAAACACCTTTCAATTATAACCCTTCCTTTCTTAAAGAGTCTGTTGTAAGCTCTTTCCAATGCATTATTAGAGTCATTAGCCACGGTTCTAAGCCATAACCATCATCGCCCAGTAGTACTGCACCAGGAAACTGTTGCATAGTTACACGTATATCGCAGTTCCTCCAAATTCTTGCATCGTGTACAGAACCCGGCCAACTAACATCAGCACTAGTAAACATTTCCATTGAGTTACATGTTGCCTGCACATTTAAAGTCGCCAATCCCTTTCTGTTGATGTATTCATCACCGTGTTGATTCGGTTTCAAAATCTGAACGTGCGTGCAATGAATCACTCCAATAGCACTTGGAAACTGAAATTTTTCTTGCCACACTTGCTGTGCTTCGTTTATTTTGGGTTGGGTTGATGGAAATTTGATCCATAAATGGGACTTTTCAACTATTTTGTTCATTACAAATGAAATTGTTTTTGAAACAGTCGACTGAGTGATTCCCAATTCTTCTGCTACAGCTGCTACACCTATCTGAAATCCAGGATTGGCCATATATCGCAAGAAAAACTTCATTTTATGATTTGAAGAAAGAGCGGCTCCTCTTCTTTCAAGATTTTTTCGCAAAAAGTACGTTGTCATCCAATTTACGTTTTCTTCTTGAAATCTGTAAAGAAATTTAAAATCTCGCCAATTAGCTTCCCTTCGCACTTTGTATTGCTTCTGTGCACGTAAATTCACGAATTCTGCCATTTTACGACCAGCTTATTGCAAGGTGCATCTCCTACTAACGAGATGCAAAAATTTTGGAGCATATGCTCAACTAAGTAAGCAAAGGATACATTTTATTCATAACAAGTTGAGCAAATACTTAAACGTGAGTAGATGCTCATGCTTGATCTAATACAAGTTTGAGCAAAAGCTTTTACTTACATTTTTATTCATAAACTATATAGCATATGCTTCAAGTTTTGCAAGTAGAAGGTACTGCTCATTTTTATTCATATGGGCCAATATTTTGGGAAATTTGAGGAGAATAGGTTATGTAAACAAAACGCTAAATTTGTAAATAGCCCTACTTATTTTATTAAATGAAATGAATGGAGTGCCGTACTTTGCCTGGAATTCACGAGTAAAAGAGCACGGCAGAGAAAACCCCGATTACTATTTCAGAGAATCTAAGTATACTGTCCTGAACGGTCTTCAAACCAAGCTTTGTAGTTTCGTACATTCAAAACATGCCACATTTATATCATGCAAAACTGAAGAGATTTTGGTTAGTTGGCAGGTTGCCGCCCGCAGGTACTAAGGTCTTGGTTTCGGATCTCGAAGCTAAAGTTTGGATGTTTGATGTAAATATCTTAATATTATATTTATTGTTTAGTTGCCCTTTGCAAGCTAAGATATTCGCCCAGTCACGGTCGAAAAATATTAGTACATTCAACAAGGCCTTCTTTGTCACACTGAACCAAAATAAATCGGCACGACTGGACAGTAGGACAGTATATAAATGATTATATTTAGATTACTTTTAAACTGAAATTATTTACAGCATAAACAGATTCCATTAAATGCATACACATGTTAAGATGATAATTAAGATAATTCTCAGATACTAGATGCAACAGAAAAATAAAATATATACTTTAGTTAACATTAGTTAAATAATGAAAAAATATTTATTAGTACATTCAACAAGGCCTTTTTTGTCACACTGAACCAAAAACATCGGCACGACTGGACAGTAGGACAGTATAAAAATGATTTTATTTAGATTACTTTTAAACTGAAATTATTTACAGCATAAACAGATTCCATTAAATGCATACACATGTTAAGATGATAATTAAGATAATTCTCAGATGCAAGATGCAACAGAAAAATAAAATATATACTTTCGTTAACATTAGTTAAATAATGAGAAAATATTTACTTTACGTTAGGCGTAGTTAAAACATTTTTTATCAAAAATATAAATATCTCTTCAAACAGCTAAGGTACTGTTTGGTGGTATGGTAACAATTTGGTCTCGGGTGTTATTAGTCCTTCTATTCTTTAGTCATTGACTACGACAAACATAACGACATCAGTAATCATTAATAAACGATTTCGACATATTAGCATCGGAAATGAATTCGAATTTCGAACGCACGAACTCGCAGTGACATAGAAATCTAGCATGTAAATCTAAATTTCGATTACGCTCTAAGTCAGTTGTCATAGCACGATATCTTATCGCTCATTGTAGTCACGCACGGGGACCGAAATTAGTGCTGCCAACTTAAACGTGTGTCGGTAGCGCAGGGCTGCCAACCGTGCGTTTTCACACGTCAAATAATTCGTATGGGTGTTATCGTTGCTTCGGATCGTAGTAGAAACTTTCGGCGCAGTCATTACGAAACGACGCAATTATGTGATTAGAGAACGTGTTAACATAAAACTGCAAAACGAACCTAATTGGCTTTAATGCGTCGTCGTAATGACCGATGGAATAAAAATTGTGGTCACGTGCCGGGTGCTGAAAGATCGATATGGCGTGGGTGAATATATTTCGAAATTACGTAGACTTTTTTTTCTTATTGTACAGGGTGGTCCCACTTTTGTGTGGTTTGCAGGGTCTGCATCTCGTTTGCGACAGCTTACGATACTGTGCAGCATAATCTCATGTTACACGGATTATATCAATTGAAGAAAGATTACAACTTTACCAGCCTTGTAAAAGATTTTCACCAGAATGGTAGATTCTTTGTAGAATTAAGTGGTAAGATAAGAGACAAAAAAGCGACCTACTCCTAGGTAGCGTCCTGTCATTATACGACAATGACCAACCACATCCCCCTAACACAAAAATGATAATTTATGCTGACGATCTGGCGCTAACTAACTAACAGACTAGTCTTAAGTCTTAAGTCAAATTCAACATAAAGTTCAAATGACTTAAGTCTTAAGACTTTGACTCAAATCATTTTAGTTCAAGTCAAGTCATTTTTATAAAGACTTAAATCAATACCGGGTGAGTCTCAAAAGTGGCTCACCCCTATAACTTTTTTATTTTTTCAGTTATAAAAACGAGATTTGTTATGTTGGCATATGACATAAATTAGGATTGATTGGCGTATTCAATTGTTTTCGGTCACTTCCTGTTTCACCGGAAATGACTGCAATTTTGATTTTTAAATGGTACACTCGGTATTTTTTTACGTTATTCTATAGAAAATAATACTCTGAAGAGAATGACATATCATGTATCAACTTTTGACATTTTTGCATATGGTTTATTTGAAATTATAGCATGCGGTTCATAACGAAAATTTGACTCGAAATACCAAGTGTGTGTTACCAAATTATTCGTAAAAAAATGCATTTTCCAAATATGCTAATGAGCTACCCTCGTTCAATTTGAAAAAATTGAGATATGATAGAAAATACGATTTGAGCATCTTTTAACCGGCCAGGACAAGGCACTAAAAACATTAGATCATCAAATCTATTTTTCCAAAACTCCTTGATTAAAAATTTGTGTTTTTAACATATCCATGGCACTCTAGATTGAAATTTATAATACGATTTTTTATTAAGCCAAAATGTCAAAAGATGATATATGATATGTTATTCTATTCAGAATGTCATTTTCTATCGAATAAAGTAAAAAAATACCGAGGGTGTCGTTTAAAAATCAAAAGTTGTACCGTAAAATGGGGTTACTTGGGACGTCGGGGTTACTTGGGACGCAACTTCGGTTTTTCTAATTTAACTGGCGGAAACAACGCAAATATAAATATAACCTTAATTTAATGTTTTGGTTCGTTAAAGAACAATGTGTTGATGATTTAATTAAACGAATTCGATATAAAGTGATAGTATTTTACTTATATAAAAAAAATAAGTGGGTGGTGGGAAGCAAACTAAAAATAAGTGGTCGAAAACTTTATCTGTAAGAGGCAGTCAAAAAGTAAACAGGTAAGTTCAATTACATTTCTTAGATAGTTTTTTATGTTTCATAAATAATACCAATGTCATTGCCCGCGTTTAGATAATTTTTTAGATTGTAAAATATATTTTTTTAAAAAAAGTCATGGTTTGGGGTAACTTGGGTCAACAATTTTCCCAAGTTAGCCCTTGACCCAAGTTACCCCATGTTATTTAATCGATTTTGTTTTCAGTGCTCTACATGCCAAGAAAATATATTCGCAAAGTAGGCTCTAAAAAATATCATGACTTTGAAGAAAAAAATATGGAAAGTGCCATAGAAGATGTACAATCTGGAATGTCCTATAGAACAGCGGCAGACAAATGGAAGCTAACCAAATCAACTTTACAGAGAAGATGTAAAAATCAGAATTAAGAAAGATATGGAAGACGTACAGTTTTGAAAAAAGAGGAAGAAGACGAATTTATCAGAGGCAGTTTTATGATAAAATCTACGAAAGAAAACAAACATTTTGTGTTCCCAGATTTAGCTGATGATTATGATATCACAGAGGATAAAATTGTGAGAGTGCTAAAAGCAGAGAACGTGAGCATTACTAGAGGCCGCCATGCATTTAATGGATTAGAAAATACTGATTGGCTACAATAAGAAGAATGCAATAGATCTATTTTTTGTGTTTACAAAATGTCTTTTTAGTTCCTTTTTGTCCTATTATCTTTATTGAAGAATTTTTACATTTTCTAATGAATAAATAAATATTTTTAATAAGTTTACGCTAAATCGAGTTTTTCTTTCCTCTAAATAATTATCTCAGAAAAAAAATTCAACTCAAGATGTGTGTTAGTGTATTTTTTTTATTTTTCTGCTGTCCCAAGTAACCCGTGAGTAGTTTAACATGCATTTTCGGTATAAAACCGTTACAGTCCCATTTAACCCCAATGCGGGGAAACTTGGGACAGTAAATATGTTAGTTTTTTTTATAAATATTCTTACATTAGGAGCCATTTATGATGCATTTTAGGTTAAATACATATTAAAGAAATTTTCTACACATAAATTGTTGCTTTGTCTTCACAAAAACTTTTATAAATTACCACATAACTAAAAAAATTATAGTGAATTTGTCCCAAGTAACCCCATTTTACGGTAGTCATTTCCGGTAAAACAGGAAGTGACCGAAAACAATTGAATACGACAATCAATCCTAATTTATGTCATATTCTAACTTCTAACATACCAAATCTCGTTTTTTTTATCTGAAAAAATAAAAAAATTAGGGGTGAGCCACTTTTGAGACTCACAGTAAAATGACTTAAATCAATAACAAACCCTTAAGTCAAGACAACCAAAAATCAATTTAAGTATCTTTTTTAAAAATTAATATTAATTTTATTGTATTACCAATTGAGCGATTTTCTTAGTAAGTATCATATCATTAATTTGTTGTAAGACTAAACCACATAAAGTAAAACGGTTAATTTTAGAACAACTACAAACACAAAAATATGTTGTTTTTTATAAAATTTAACCGATTTTGTAGTACTTTATATGTATCCTTTACAGCTTAGATGTCATATCTATTAAAAAGTGGTGATGTGTTTTGATCAGTATGTAATATGTCGATGGTATAAGCTAAGGGGTGGACGATTATAAGGTACTATTAAAATATAAATATATAACAAACTTCTTTCGTTAGTCTTTCGGGCTCCATAACGAAGTCGGGGATTCATTTGAAAGACAACAGACTCATCATTACGCACCCGTAACACGACAAATAATCAAGACCGGTCCGGAAAAACTAACGTCTATTTGCTAGTGGTAT